GGAATGAATAACAAATGTCCTTTTTAGACAACAAGATGCTACCGAGCCATAAGGAAGGCAAATTTTTATACTTTCATGGATCAATGAATGCAATTGGAGACTATACTAAGTGAAATAAATCAGACTCACATCTATAAACACTGCTTTGTCTTGCTGTTTTATGGTGCTGATAGACTAAATAAATGTACAGTGCACAATAAATATTGTGAAATGGGAAGAAATTGTTTAAAAGAAAAAATGAACTAGGATGGGAGGAAGCAGGAAGGAAGAAAGAATACCTGTAGGGTTCAGCGAAGAGGAAGGTTTATACTAACATCAGTTGGAAAGATTTTTATGCCCATATCTTGTACTCTGAATAATTACTTTCAAGACCACAACATGCATTGTATTAACAGTTGTTATTCTTCTATTGTTTTGTAGTGAAATTCTGCCCTAATATTTTCAATAAAAGAAAAATTTTTAAAAAGCATCGTATCATAGTGATATATGCACATCATTGTTTGTAGCAGCACAGATTATAGTAGGTAAATCTTGGAAACAACTGAAATGCCCTTCAACTGAGGAATTTATATAAAACATGTGACTTTTTATGTAATGAAGTATTACTCATCCATAAAGAATAATGGACTTGAGACATTTCCTGGTAAACGGATGCAACTAGAGATCATACTATTAAAATAAATTAATCAGAAACATATATTGTCTTATTTTTACTTTTCCCTCATTGCTGAGATGAAACACCTGACACCCAAAATTAGGGAGGGAAAGTTGTATTTGTCTTACAGCTTTGGAGGTCTCAGTCCATGATCAGCCTGCTCCAAGGCACGGTGGCATGGCACTGAGGCAACAGCTCAAAGCAGCAGCCAGGGCAAAAAGGGGAAGAGCAAGTCTCTTCTCCTTCCTTATAATGTATAGAGGCTACCTGCTCCCCCTTCAAGACAGGGGTAGCACTCATAAAATCTCTTTGTCTTCCTTTGCACAGGGTGGGGATATTTACAAAGAAACTTTGCTCCCTGTTGAGTCTCTTAGTTAAAACTTCTAAACTTCTCAAGGTGATACAATGTATCAAGCATAACACATGTATAAATATCTCATTGTTATCTAGTGTGAGAAACTGAAAATGTAAATAAGGCCTCAAGTGTATAACAGCAACTGTGAAATCAGAAGACATTCCTCAAATAGGGATAGTTGAAAGACAAAGCAAGAAAGGGGAAAAATGATAAAAGAAGGATAAAATGAAAGCAAAATATTGTAAATAAAAAGAGGAAGAGGGATTGAAGGGAGGAATAGGCTTAGGAAAAAGGAACAATCAATTTGTACACAGGTACAAATTCCCTATGATGATTATGATCATTATATATATATATATATATATATATATATATATATATATATAAATTGAGCCAATAAAAATAATTTTAAAAATAAAATTGAATGACATAAAATTTGCGAAGAGAGATATTGCACCACCATCTGGACCCAAATTTTAAATATCTGTCTTAGAAATTGCAAATTCATACACAATGAACTGTCATGGTATGATACAGTTGAAAATATAGTAGTCTTTGATTTTACAAGATTAAATTAAAGTGAGCACTAATATGAATCATCACTTCAGGCCATAAAATGATGTTTGTAATCTGACCAAAGGTACCCACTCTGTGGACATCTCTGCATACTTTTATTTTTGGAGATTTTGTCATAAGTAACTTAACATTTTTATTTTAAAGTTAAAACAAAAACTAAACCAAACAAAGCAAAGCAAATCATAAAAGAACAATGCAAGCAACACAACACTTTACAATTAGACTGTTAACAGGACAATAACAGTGGCTACCATAATGTATCTTGTTTTCTTTAAAATAGTTGACCAAACCTTCACATACAATAATATGAAACATAGCAAAATAGTGTAAGGTCATTCAAAAGAATGAAAGCATTACAGGACTTCAAAATCAGATAACTGGAAAGGAGCAATGGCTACTACAATCTTATTTTGATACATTGTATCCCCTTGAGAAGTTTAGTAGAGTTGACTGAGAGACTCAGCAGGGAGCCCGGGTTCTTTGCAAACATCCTCATCCTATGCAAAGGAGGACAAAGAGATTTTGCCAGTGCTACATCTGCTGTGAAGGGGAAGGGTGTAGCCTATGTACACTATTTACTATCACACATAGTAAAATCAAATAAAATACAACAGAATACAACCAATCAAAACAGAAGAACAAAAGCATGATAGGACTTCAAAACAAGATGATAGTAAATCAGCAATTGCTACCATAATGTCTCGTTTTCTGCAAAATACCTGTTCATAGCATCACACATAATAAAATCAAACAAAACAAAACAGAATAAAAGCAATTAAACAGTTGAATAAAAAATTATAAGACTTCAAAACAATATAACAGGAAACCATGATTACAATAATATACTTATTATATTCCAAATAGTTGCCCTTATCACCTGACAGAACAAAATCTCACAAAACATGACAGAAAAAAAGCCAAACCTAACAAAATTATGAAAATAGTACTAGAGTTCAAGATAAGACAATAAGAAATCAACAGTAGTTTCCTCTTTTACTTTCCAGGTGTTTCCTCCCCTATCACCCTTATAGTAACTATGTTGCTTTTGGGTTCTATTAAATCCTGTTTTTTTTTTATGCTAAGGTTCATGTGTATGAGTTTAAACTTTTGCCCATGAGCATCATCTACAGTTGTGTCCATTTACCCACAAGAGCCTCGAGATTATTCTACTTTATATCTGGGTATGTTTCCACTGTATGAAAATACCATATCTTTCTTATTGACTCTGCAGTTGATGGGCAAGTTACTCCTGCTTTTCTTCTGGTCGCCTGTAACATGGAGCAATGATGTTCTCTCCCTTGATTTTCAGTCTATGAATTTCCTTTCCAGTTAAATGTGTTTCTTGTATACAGTATATCAATGGATCTTGTTTGTTGATCCACTTTCCCTGTGTTTCTTTTTATTGCTGAATTAAGGCCATCTACATTAATGATTACAACCAGCATACATTGGTTGGTCTCTGCCATGCTATCCTCCTGTTTTTGGCCCTCCACTTCATTCAGTTGCCTGTCTTGTTTGGTGATCATCCTCTGCTGCTGTTGCTGGAACTATGGTCATCTTTATCTCTCTCTAGAATATCCTTTAGCACTTTCTGTAGGGCTGGTTTGGTAGTCATAGGTTTTTTCAGTTGTTTTTTTTTTATCATGAAAGTATCATACTTTTCCATTAATTTTGAAAGATAATTTTGTAGGGTATATCAGTCTCAGTTGGAAGTTGTTTTCTTTCAGGATTTGAAACATTTCACTTCAAACTCTTCTTGACTTGATGGTTTGTGTTGATAAGTCTGCTGTGATTCTGAATAGTTTTTCTTTATAGGTTAACTGTTTCTTTTCTAATAGCTCTTAATATTCTGTCATTCTGTTGAATTTCTGGGATCTTGGTTATTTATGTCTGTTTGTAGATTTACTTTGATTATGGCTAGTTGGAGTCCTATATGCCTTACTGCATGTCAGATCCATTTCACATATTTGGGAAGTTTTCTTCTATTACTTCTGTAAATATCCTTTTAATTTCATTTGTGTTGACCCCTGCTTCTTCGCCAACACCTACCACTCTTTCTAAAAATTTAAAGAAAGAAAAACAAAATAGAAAAAAGTAAAAAAAATAGAACAATACAGAATTCAAAAAACATAAACACTAGGAAATTGCTAATTGACACGTTAATCTACTACTCAAATTATGCTTCTTTGCATCATCTTGCAGCCATTGAATTGATTCCTGATTCTTTGTTAGTTTTTAAGAGATCTTTCCTTTCATGAACACTAGCTGTGATCCTGTCTTCAAGGGTTGAAAGTCTATATTCAGTCTCTTTCAAGTAGTTTTGTTAGCTTTTGGTTGACTTTTTAATTTCCAGTATCTTTCTTTGAATGAGTTTCATGCATTGTAATTCCTTTCTATATTCACTGAAGGTTCCATCATTTTCCTATGCTCCTCTTTTTAAAAAAAATCTGCCTACTTTATACATGCTGAGCAATTGTTTAAGTCAATTTGTGATTTATTCTTTTACCTGAGACATTATCTCTGATTTGATTGCTTTTACAATCTCATGAAATTGTTTCTTTACTTCAGTTGCCATCCTTTCAGAGATTTCAAGTGTGTGATTTCCATTTTCTTCCATGACTGAATCTCCCAGACTTGTTCTGTGTGAGCTAGAAGTCTGAGATTGCCTTTTGCTCCTTTGTCTTGACATTCTCCTGGATTCCACCCAACAAGCTATTTGTGGGGCTCCAGGATTTTCCAACATTGGCTGCCCCTCCACCATGTAGAGGAATGGGACAGGCATCTGTGTTGCTCTGACCCCAGACTTAAAGGGAGGTAGCAGGCCATGTAGTGGCCTTCTCTAGACCTATGCAGCTACACTGGGGCTTCACTGATATTCAGGAGTCTGTGGAGATGGAGATGCTTCTCTTATACTGTGTATCTATGCTGGGACTCCCATGATGGTGATAGACACACAGGGGTTTTTGTCTGATTCTACTAGTGGGTGATGGCTGCCCAAAGGAATCAAAGGTCTCCAGTGGTGGCCTACAGGTGCACAGGGCTTACCTTGCTGTGTTTCCCTGCTTCTGATGGCTGCTCACAGAAAAGGGCCTTCCAGTGGTGGCATTTAGCAAGTGGCAGTGGATCTCCTGGCTTTCTCTGACTGCACTAGCTGCCCATTGTCTGCCCACTTGGTGAGCCCTACTGTTTGGCTTGCTGGTGTCTGCTGGAGTGCACACAAGGGCAGGGTGACCTTCTCCCTCCTAGCTGGTAACCTTTGGGGTTCTGTGATGATGGTTTGCAGAGTACAGGCAGGGGAGCAGAGCTAGAGCTCCCACCATAACTGTTACAGTACACGCAGTGTTGGGGTTGGCTACCACCCCCAGGCTGATTTCTGATCAAGAACCTCAGTGATGGCTATTGGAATATGCACAGGCGTAGGGCTCAGGTCAAGCAGTTTCCATCAGATTGTCACCAACTAAGAAATGCTGGAGGGAGCTTGCTGCATTCTGGTTCTGGCTTTATCCAGCCTGACTCCAAAATGGCTGCCAGCCAATCACTCTCTCCCAAGGGAGAACTGAACCCTCTGCATTCACCACCAGCCGTGCAGTCCCTGTGTCTGCTGCTCCTCTCCACCACTGCAACTCTTTGCAGGGACTTCCAGATTTCCAGGCACCACAGTCACCATGACCCTACATTCCCAGTTTCCAACAAGTCCTCTCACACAGCAAGATTGGCACTGGGTCAAGGTGCTACCTTCTACTCCCTTGTTATCAATTTTTCTTTTTTACTCTCTCTATGGGCTTCAGTTATCACTTTAGATTCTTCATTGGTCCAAGAGACTCTCTTCCTTCCTTATTGTCATCCTCATGATGCTATATTCCAGTATCTGGATTATTTCAGAGAAGCTGTTTACCCTGCTGCTTACTGCTCCACCATCTTCCTGGAAATGTCATAAGTAACTTAAAATGAAGACAGAGTTTTCATCTGTGAAAGAAAAATTTTGAAATCATTCTGACAATGTAGAGAAAAGTGTTCATGGGATTTAAGATAGGAAGTCATATTTCGTGTACATTTTTGCAATCAGTGTTGAATTTATAGATAGCCAAGAATCTCCTTCGCAAATTATAAAAAAAAATTATGTCTCAGTGAACATAAAATGATACAAAGAACACCTCAGAATATGTATATTTTTAGTATTTTGGTTAATATTTGCAATTACATTATTGATAACTACTTGTATAAGATGCATTTTCACACCTAAAGAACCAGTTTTCCAGGTGTCAGCAATTCTAAAGACATTCCTTATTACTTATTCTATAGACATTACTAAAAAAAATTGTTAGAAGTGATGGGCATATGGATGCCCAGATGAGCAGAAATAAGAGGAAAATGAATGTTGTGTGTCTAGACTCAGAAATGAGAAAACCACCACCCTGTTTTCTTCAGTTACATTGCATTAGTCTTTAAGGACCTATACTACTGGGAGAAGAATACTAAAATAATGGTCTAGTTAAGTGCACTGAATACTGATCTCCCAGGAATATAGAGGCCAGAGGTGCTATCAAATGACCCCATTCAATACCTCTGCTTCATTCTGAAACAATACCAAGCCTTATTCCACAGATAATCATTCTTTTTTTTTTATTTAAGGAGGAAAAAAAAGCAGAGAAAGGGTACAAGTTATACAGATTTACAGAAAAAAAAAACAGTAGGAAATCACTAGTTAATGGATTACATATTGTCATCTTAGAGATAATTGTTCAAGTCACAAAATTAAAGCTTGTAAAGTGGACATTCCAACAATGATACTGCAAACAGTTCTGTTCAATGATCCAATAAAACTCTGTGATATCATTTTCTATCTTATACACTTAAATATACATGCAGTTATATAGTTTAGAGCACTTTCTTTTCCTCTCTTTTGTACAGTGACTATTACACATTTTGGGTTTCATTGCTCCCACGGTTCTTTTTACTTTTTTGGAAGAGAGTAAAACCAAATGTGACATAACAGAACAGAATCGGTCAAATCAAAAGGGTGGACATAATAGATAATGTAAAAACATAATACAAGGTGATCAACAATGGTTACCATAATGCCTCCCGCTATCTCTAATAGAATTGCCTATATCATTAGTTATAATAAAATTGAACAAAACAGTAAAGAACAAAACCGACAAAACCAAAACATTGGAGACATTGTAGGTCTTCAAAAGTAGATAAAAGTCAACGAGAATGGGCGTTATAATGAATCTCATTATCTTCACAGCTGATGCCTAAACTTTCGAACCTGATACTATCCAGCAAAACAGAATAAGAACATATTTTATTTTAAAAATAGATTGCAATAACAATAAAATACCATAATCTGGCCATTATAAAAGAAAAACAAAACGTAAGTGGAATTTACTTTTTTATGAAAATACATAATTACCACTGTAATATACTGGCAACTCTCGCTTATTTTTATTTGAGCTACTTTTTCATGAATTATTCAAGGAGGTTTAAAAATCAGAGTAGCATTTGTATATACATTTGGGTTGTTCTTATCTTCAAATAAATATATTCTCAGGGAACTCAAAGAAACTTATGCACTTACTTACAGAAGCATAATAAGAAAGTAAAAAATTCTCAGGAAATATATCCCAAAGCAATACATAGTTTTATATTACTGGTTCTGTAACTTAAAAAAGACTATATCCAAAGTACTCTTTGAAATAACAAATTACACTACTTACACAGAGAAAAGACATAACTAAAATATCCAGTCCCAAAAAAGAGGAAACTATCAATGATAACTGTAATTTAAAAATAGTTGTCTACATGCAAAGTGCTAAAGAATAAAGAAGCAAGTATTCAAGAAAAACTTCAGGCTTATACTGAAAAACAAAGAAAAACAAAGACAAAGAGAGTAAAGACCCTCATCACCATAAGTTCTGTTTTAACCGAATTCACTAAGAAATGAAAGCAATGGTTGTAAGACCAGTTAAGGTCCTGTTAATAGCATACAACTTACCCGTTGGCCAACATTATTTTCAATCAAAGCTAAGCATATAAGCTTCATAAAATTTCCTCCATATTTCATGTGCTATATAAGCTTTATCATTCTATGTTAAAGAGAAGGATGTCAGTCACTGTTGATGGGATGGGCAGCTATTTCAAAGATAACAAAGTATGTTATGGTAGCCATTGTTGATTTCCTATTATCTTGATTTGAAGCCCTATATTTCTTTCATTGATTTGTTTTGATTGATTTTATTATATTTTGTTTCATTTGATTTCATTACATCTGATGGTATAGGCAGCTATTTTGAAGAATGCAAGAGACACTATGGTAGTCATTGTTGATTTTCTATTGGTTTGTTCTGAAATCTTGTACCAACTCACTATTTTTGTTTTGATTGTTTCTACTCTGTGTATTTTGCTTGGTATTTTTCTCCTCAAAGTAAAAATACTGGAATAAATATTCACTAAGTGTAAAATTAGCACATGAATGTGAAATAAAAGCAATTTCTAGTGAAAGATATTCTCACAGTAACAAATAACCTAATGTCTAGTCTTTTCTATAATGCCAACCTTACATTTGAACATTTAAAACATTTTTAACACTGCAGTTTGCCTAAATTCATATAGAAAAATAATATTATATCAATTAATATTGAAATCTTAAATTAAGATGTTAATAAAAATACAAGCTTTTGTGATCCTCCGTTGGGTGTCTTAATAGAACAAAGCACAGGTATTGCTTGGGGTTTATTTTGAAGATTCTGTTTCTAGACCAAATACCAAATACTTTAAAATATAAGATGTTAAAATTTTCTTGAATTACACTTCAGATCTGGTTAATCAATTATATAATTTCTACCATTGTCATTAGTAATTAGTTTGTATACAGCACTGAAAATCATTGAATATTTTGTGTGAGCAACAAAGATTCAAAATCCTGATTGCTATGATGACCTCCTTAATTGTAAACTCAATTAGCAGACTGGTTGCCCTTTAGTGATGCTTCAGTTACTGATCCTATGTGACCAATACCACAAAAATGTGAGCTAGGAGTTGTCTTCCTTGAAGTATTTCTAAATGTGAATATAACCATTTAAAAAATTATTTGTAAGCTCAAACTATTCATTTAAAGGTTTAAACTAAGACATTTTTACATTTAGTAAGGTGATGAGGCATTTTCACATATTTCTGTAATACATTATCCATCATACACTTGGCCCATTTATACTGTTTTAAGAAGAAAATATTATTTCAAACAAATAAAACCAAATTATAGAGCCCCGTCAGTATTTTTTCTTTGGTTCTTGAATTTCCTTAAATGACAGTATCATCAGTGGTTCTATTAAATGCCTCTTCTCGAATAATACATTTTTCATCCAATATAAAGAACAAATAAAATTCTCAGTGTCAGTAGAGTATCAATCACAAAGCTGTGTGTTCCTCTATTTTCTTTAGAATGAACAGTTATTAGCAATGTCATAAAACTATTAGGGATTATGGTCATCATGGAGGTTGACATCTGGAATATTTTTTATACTATTACATATAATAAAATCCAATATGATACAACATGATACAACCAATGGAGATAGAAGAATAACAGCTTGAAGGGACTTCAAAATAAGATTATATTAAATCAGCACTAGCTATTATGATGTCTTGTTTTCTTCAAAATACCTGCTCATACTATCACAGACAATAAAATCAAACCCAGAATAAAACCATTCAAATTAATGAGTGAAAACTTTATAAGGCTTCAACCCAATAAAATGGGGAATCATGGTGTAACACATACTTTTATGTATATTTATCATTTATTACACTAGGGCAAGTATTTGGTATTTAAACATGTAAGTTGATTTATTTCACCTATGAGTATGGTCTCAAGCTGTGCCCATTTATTTATAAATATCGCAATTTGATCCTTCTTGATAGCTGAATAGTACTCCATTGTAGAAAAATACCACAACTTTTTATCCATTCCTCAGTTGTTGGACACCTAGGTTATCTACAAGATCTGGCTATTACAAATTGTGCTGTTATAAACATGGGTGCACATATATCACCATGGTACGATGCTTTCAGGTCTTATGGGAATATGCCTAGAAGTGGAATAGCAGGGTCAAATGGGAATTCCAATCCCAGCTTTTTGAGAAATCTGCAGACTGATCTCCAAAATACTTGCACCAGTCTAAACTCCCACCAACAGTGCAGGAGAGTTCCTTTTTCAAACACAGCCTCTCCAGCATTTATTTTTGGTGGTTTTCTTGATCTTGGCCATTCTTTCAGGAGTGAGATGGAATCTTAGTGTGGATTTAATTTGCATTTCTCTAATAAGTACTGATGGTGAAGCTTTTATCATGTATTTATTTGCCATTTGTATTTCTTCATATGAGAATTGTGTATTCATCTCAGATGCCCATTTTTGGATTGGATCTTTGAATTTTGGGGGTCTGATTTTTTTTAATTCTTTATATGACAGAAATCCTTTGTCTGAGGGGCAGTTAACTAAGATTTTTTTCCCAGTTTGAGGCTTTTCTTTCACTATGCTGGAGATTTTTTGATGTACAGAAACTTTTTAATAAGACATGATCCCAGTTATTGATTCTGGGAAGTGTTTCCCACGTGGTTTGATTCCTGTTTAGGAAATCTCTACCTACTCCTATGTCATCAAGTTTTTATCCAATTTGTCTTCCAATAGATTTACTGTTTCTGTTTTAATATTCAGATCTTTGATCCATTTAGATTTTAATTTAGTATACGGTGATAGGCATGGGTCTACTTTTAGTTTTCGACATATGGAGAGCCAGTTGTTCCAGCACCATTTATTAAAGAGACTGTCCTTCTTCCAGTGAGCCTGATTGGCCCCTTTATCAAAGATAAGTTGGTGGAGTCTGTTTGTAGTTGTGGTTGTATCTTGAAATCTATTCCTTTGATCTTCAGCTCTGT